AAGCCGAGCTCTGTATAATTGATGACTTCGGGGCGAAGCTGCAGAAGGAGGTCAAGGCACAGGTGGTGTGGCTGCAGGAACAGAGCCAAGGGCAATTTTATACGTTTTGCAGGCAAATGTAAATTTAAGCGGTTTAGCCGTTATCCTCAATGCCTTGAAAATCATATTGTTTCAGATAATAACAGAATAATAAGCAATAATTACAATGAATTCGGTTCCTGAAAGATTTCATTGCATACTTTTAGACACATTTTTAAGAGTTCTTAAACCCCAAATACAAATAAATAAAGAAACAAATAGTATTATTTTGTGTTACAATTTAACCAAAGAAATAATTACTTTCCTGTATCTTTTGTCCTATATATTTGGAAAAACGTGTCCTTGACTTCGCAACCAAACAGAAAAAACCCCAATTTCGCACATAATCATTTTTTCTCGCACGAATGCCAGAAGATAATTCCCCTTGGTCAATGCCGGAGCTTGGCAGGGGCAAAAATCGATTTCAATGACACTGGAATGGGTAAGGGAGCGCAGCTCCTCATGGCTCCGCCGCTCGTGCAGGCCAGAAGGCATTCCCAGGACCCATAATATTTGCCTAAACAAATGCCTGAAACCCTCTAGCCCAAATCCCCTTCGCAGGATCCTGGCTAAACCTATGACAATAGCAACAGCAACATGGCCAGGCGCAAGGACGATGGCAAAGGCATTCCATATGCAAAAATGTATGCGGTCGCTGGCATAAACAAAATTTCAACTTTAAAACAAGCCGGAACAGAAATTGCAAGCTGGCGCAACGAGAAACCAATTCGATTTTGCCATATGCAATGTAAATCGCCCAAGGATATCCCCAAAGGCGACGGGGAGAGGTCGGGCCAGCAGCCAAAGGATATGCGGCACATGTTCGCAGCCCAGGACTTGAAAGAGCAGAAAAACAGAAACTGTGGAAGAGGCGAAAAAAAACGCTTGCATATGCTTTAATCAAAGGCAATGACGTACGGGAATGTGGTTCATTCTTAAAAACGTAGCCAGGATTCCGGAGAGAGGCGGCAGTGCCGGCAGCGAGGACCGCGGGTGTTGGGGTTGCGGTTCCGAAAGAGAGCAGGCTCTTCCTCCAGAAACGGAACTGTTGACAAAGCCACGCGGGTGGCTGGCTGCTCAGCCAGGATTGCGAATGGACATTTGAGATTGTCCGCGGGCAAGGACAGCGCAGGCGCAGGGGTTAAGCGGGAGCGCGGAGAGTGGAGAGCGGAGAACACTCTTTTACGCTCTCTTGCTCTGTGGCTTACACGCCCCACTGGGTGGTTGTTGTTTTCTCGGCAGGGTTGCTTTTCGCATTCTGTTTGCCATGTGCCCCACTGTAAGTCAGCAGTGCACTGTGCGAAAAAAGGGTTGAAAACTATGGTTGTTTTCATTGACGAAATACACATGAAAAATATCCTTGAGAGTACATGGATTTTAATAAAAATATAAGGCATGTTTAAAGCAATTTTAGATATCAGAGAGAACTCTACTTCTGTATTTTTATGCTAAAGGTTAATAGTTATTGTTATACAAAATATATACATTTTGAAATGTGATTTAAAGTCAAAGGATATTGCACTTCTGATATATTCTAAAATTATATTGGCACTTTTTTCTTCTATTTTTAATAAAATCTATTAAATTCTATTTACAAAAATTTAAATCAAATTGTTGGATATTTAAGTGTATTAAAAAAGTGTGAATTCTCTGAAAAAGTTACAAAAAAGAGTTACATATACAGATAAACCTCGAGTCGACATAAAAACGAAAGTCATTTAATATGTTTTAAAAATTTTTAAATGTGTACCTTTCATTTATTATACTTATTTTATTATTTTCCTTAATTTTTTATCTCCAATTTTTTCAGTGTATCCTCCTCTTTAACCCCCTTAAAGACCCATCAACCCCATCGTTTCTCGGTTGTCGCTTATAGCTTTTTAATTACAAATAGAAATGGTTAGCATTTTTGTTTACGTTTATTAAACTAATTGGATGAGACAATGTTGCTGCATGGCTGACAAGCCGGTCACCTGGCCGCCCTTCGTAGGGAACTTTCGGGCTGCAGGAATATGAGCCTTGAAGCTAGGGGGCAACTCCCGACATTGTCTACAGCGGTAATCCCCCGGGTCATTAAGGCGTCTACGTGTCTGCAGCAGAAGCAGCAGGAGCATCAGCATCAGCAGCGCTGGATGCTTCTAGCCAGGACAGTGTCGCCTGCCGATTGCCCCATGTTTTATTCAGTTTGGCGGCGTCCTCCTTAGCGCCGCCATCAGGTTGTAAATATTGAACAACAGCAACAACCAGCAGGAGCCCTGAATACAGAAACACGCCGGAAGCTAAAATGGTGCTCATATTTTAAGATGTTGCATTTTTGATCTGACGCGACAGTTTTTGCCATTGCCCAAGACGGAGGACACCTTAATTGTTTGCTAGGAAAAGGATAAAAGCGAAAAAGGGAGCGAGACTGCTGGGACATGTCATTGGATTTGAAATAGAAAAGAAGATGGACATAAAGATGGAAACACAGAGATGGAAGTGGAGATAGAAATTGAGTTAGGAAAAATAAATGGAAATAAGTTCCAAGTGGAAGAATAAACTAGACGCAGACAGACGAAGAGCACAGATGAAAGCCAGTTCGGCTTAACTGAGCTAAACATTTTGGCATTTTTATTGATAAGCCAACTTGTTCGCCTTGAAGAGAGCTATAGGATATGAAAAACTTTCATGGTCTTGCGTTTGATTGATAGAAAGTTCAGCATAGGATGTCTTGCAAAAAGTTAGCCAGTTCCATAAGAAAATGCCATGAGCAAGTTGCACATATTTATTGTAAATTTTTAGTCTGTAAATTTTTAGTATGACCAATTATAATTGGTAATTATAATAGATATAGTTCTAAATAATAAACATCCATATATATTTAACGCTTTTATGAAGGAAGATGCCTCAGTTTGTCGCAGGTTGTTCAATTCATAAGCCAGTAGGCTATCAACAGCAAATAGATAATAAGCTAGCCGAATATGTTACAATAGCTTCTTTAAATTGACTTTATTGATAAGTTAGCAAATTATTTAAAGCAATATATTATAGCTAAATAAATTATTTACGCTTTCTTTAGTGCCAGTTACCGGTGACGCATTTAAAAAACTTCAAGCCAGATGCCATTCTTTTCCTAAAACACTGTGACCTGCTGCTTATTATCGACTTTTTTCATGTTGCATGGATTTATTTCCTTATTTTTTGTTACCCCGCCTGAGAGTAGTTCATTAGGACAGTGCAATGTTGACAACAACAACATTTTGAGGGTTGAACGGGGCTATAAATACGAAACTATAATGCTCCCATAAGAAACTAAGCTGACAAAAACAGACAACAACAAGACAGGGGATCACGACTTGGGGTTGAAAATAGACGGGAGAAAATGTATATTTGTGAACTCACGTTCATAAGCATTTTTCGATGGGTTCGCGGTGACGTCATTGCTCCAGAAATATGATTGCAATTTATTGGGTATATATACATATATCTACCCTAAAAATTCACCAAGTGACATCAATCAATTTTGATTATTTACCATCATCTCAACTCCGCAATCCGTCTCCCTGTTTGTATATCAATATTTTGCGAAAGGACGATTTGATAACGAAGACGTTTAGCCATTTGCAGGGCCAACTTCAGGCACTCAAGTGTCTCCTCTTCATTTCCCAACCGAACTCATCCCGACCCGTCCCATCCTTGATTAATGCCCCTCACTGTCAGGCCAAACACCTCAAGTGCCCATTGAGGGCCCGCCTCCTCCTAGTCGTCCTTTCCTTGCGCCCTCCACCTTTCCGGGAAGCTTTCGTAGCAGGTGAGCACTCGTAAAACTCAAAAGCCACATCCGCCCGCCATATTAAATTCTACAATCCAACTTCGTTTTCAAGCAAAAACACAAAAACTGTCTATAAATACTGTTAAATGAGTGAGGTGACGGCTCCTGCGTAAAACTACACTAAGGTAAAATATAGGTTCTTAAATAACAAAGGGTGCAATGAAAACCGAGATAAAATTGAAAAAAATTAGAAAGGTATTTAAATTGTTTTGATTTCAAATTAAAGACATCTCAAATTTGTGAGCTTTAATATAGCATTTCAAAGATTTAGATGCTATTTTATCATTTACATAAAATTCAAAATTGTTTATCAACTATAGAACATCCAGTTTAAAAGAAATTGACTTAAATCACTAAACTCCTAACCCTTTCCTTGAGCACTTCTTTGCACTAAAAGGATATCTTTACTTTAAAACCTTCATAATTTGTGGAACCCCTTTTTCCACGTGTATGTGTGTGCCTGTTTGTGACCGTACGTAGTTGCGGCTGTTTGTGGTTTCCCCCAGAAATAATTGTGGGCGTGTGTGTGTGGACGCACGGATGGATGGTTCGATGTTATTTCCCAGTTGTTTTTTGGTTGAAAATCGATATGAACAACAAAAAATCCATAAAATAAAAACAGAAACAAAATGGTAAAAATGTGAAATATGAAAGGCAATTCTTTCACATGTAAAATATTTTGAATTGGGAAAATTAAATATCAAAGGATAGAGAATATAAATATTTCGAATAGTTTAATATAAAACGGTAAGGAGTTAATATAGTAGGTAAATAGGATTGCCACAGATCGCAGGGGATTTTAAATCAATTAAACGGGTGTCGAGAAGTATGCAATAAAATATTTTAGGACCTCAATTCAGCTTTATTTCTTAAGGAGTCAGATTTTGTAAAACTCTTTTTGGGACCATTTCAATTGATTTCAAATCCTCAGCAATCTGGCAATACAGTTCTAACATTTAATTTATTTGGGAATGGCTGTAGTTTCTTCAGCTTAACAAAATGTTGTCTATTGCTACGTTTAAAAATCAATAATAAAAATAACAAAAACAAAAAACGGCCAACAGGAGTTCCTGGAAACAACAGATATGTGAAATATATGGGCTCTACATACCGACTATTTCCGCTTGGGTGTAAAATTTCAGGGGCTTTCTTGCCTCATACAAATCACTTCCGGGATGAAGCGTTCACGTTGTTGCACCCACAGTGCACACATACAGGCGCACCCGCACACACATACACACTGACAGCTGGCAGCCACGAGACACCAATACACTGGCTCGCCTACACCTACACCTACACACACTCACACGCGAGAGGAAGGGGAGCTGCAACCTTTGCCTTTGTAGTTGCCCAAAAAAGCAGACTTTTCGCTTATCTCCGGGCGCCGCTCCTTAATTATATAATTTTGTTTCACTGAATACTTAATGCACTTTACGATTTTACGCAATTGGCGCACATTTGTCGCACGATTTGCATAAACATTTTACTGATTTTTTCCATCACACACTCTCACACAAGCACACACGCGAGCGGCTGTGACGTACGCACACACAAGAGAGAGTAGGACTCTTTCTTTGGGCTTATTATCGCGCTGCCGATTACAGTGGGAAAACCTCTTTTAACCAAAATAGTGCTTGTCCGTTCTTTTTTGGCCACGGCCTGTCTACTAACTGAAACCAAAAGCTTCCCGTGAGAGGCAATGCTGCCAACTTGGCTATTTTCGCGTCAAATTTCGGTTTTTTTCAATGGAAACTACGACTGAGCGCCGAAGCTCGTGGAAAGCAAAAGCAAAAGCCGCGCTCTGTATAACTGTATAAAAGCCTGCCGAAGGGGAGGACGCAGAGAGCGCAAGAGAGTCCTTCTGTCAATGAAATCCTCGGTGGTAGTTTGGCGGCAACAGGGTGTTTCTGTTTGCCCAATGCACCCTGTAATGCAGTGATTTTGAAGTTCATGAATTTCACAATAAGTTTAAATTTTTTAAATGATTATACATAAGGAAAGGTTAAACTTAAACTTAAAAGATGTTTCTTCTAAGGATCTTTTTTTTTTTTTTAATCAAAAAATCTGCTAACTTTGGCAGTTTTCACTTGGATCATTAAGAAGCTATCCATTCAAACGAAGTAATTATTAAGATATCGATATAAATTCGCTCGTTTCCGTTCTCTCTCTTCTTCCTACCAACTAGAGGTTTACGCCGATGGTTAAAGGCATCGGCGGCGGCGTAGAGGTCAAAATGACTCGGCGGCGGCGGCGTAGTAGTCAGAAAGAACCGGCGGCGGCGGCGCGTCAAATAAGGCAAAAAGGCCATTTTAATGAGTTATTTATTTTTTTTAAAGTTTTATAAAGAACAATGACACTGAAGGCCGCGCTGAAGCTGCGCCGATGCCGCACCAGCGGCGCGCCGCGGCGCGCCGTTATTTTCATAATTTGGCGGCGGCGCGTCAAATAAGGCAAAAATCGGCGGCGGCGGCGGCGTGGCGCGGCGGCGTATATGTCTACTACCAACCAAACAGCGTGGACGTGTTTTTGTGAATCTAGAAGTTTAAAGAAGAAGGAACCAAGTGCAGTGCTAATAAAGAATTAATAAATGCAAAAGAATATAATTGGATCAAAACATCTGGATTGTCTATATTGTTTCCGCGAACACTTCAGGAGCATAGCGACATATTTTGCTATTCCAGGAATTTCATTTTTCTAAGAAATCCTAATAGTAATGATAACTTTTTGACCCTTACCTATGTATGTACATATGTATACATATATTTTTTATTTAAATGCCTATTTACACCAGGCTGTGTTATTGCGATGTTGCGTTATCTCAGCAAACCCAGTTCTTTTAGGTAGGCTTGGCATAGGGGCCAAGTGGTAGGAACAAGTTGCGTTCAAGTTACGTCCAAATTGCGTTGATATCAATAACAACAGATTTGTTCGATTTTCATATCGATTACAACAAATATGTTCGATTTCTACTCGATATTCGGACTATCGAACAAGTTCCATCGAAGCAACTGACAAAACAGATTTCTGTGGAAAAGAGCTAGTCTTGGGTCAGCTTAGCCAGTCTTCCATTTCTGAAACTGGCTTGTGAAAGAGATGTCGAGACCAATTAAAAGAACTGGTGGAAGGGGAAAAGAAAAGCATTCACAAATCTATAGTAGTTATTAAATATGTTGGCCCAACGCTTGCCTAATCAGATCAGATTGTTCCTCTACTCGAATAAGATCTTGCACACTTTTCCTCTGGATACGGCAAGAGACTCACTATAAACTTACCTTTGCTGTTTGCACTTTGATCATTTAGAATATATCTATTGAATGTTTTAAATGATAACGCTGGATAGAATATGTATTTCTTTGATTTTATATGTTAATTTCTTTTATTTTGCAACACCACACCACGTGCTTACCGAACACTTTTCAGATCAAGAAGGAAGAAAAGGAGAATGCTTCTTCTCACCGGAAGAGGAGACTTTAGTGTGGCCAAAGCCAAGATATTCATTCTATGCCTGAAATACTAAAGAAAGCTTAAATGGTATTATTGAATAGGAATTGGTGTATTTCAACAATATCCATTCAAACCAAATAATGTCTAATACTGTCTTCCCACACAGCGCATCTGTGAGGAACGTTTGGCATTTTTCGCAGATGCGAAACTCGTGTTCCCACAGAGCTGCATCAAAGTGCATCTGCATCCGAACAGCTGATCGATCAGCTGTGGCTCATGAAAACGTAAACAAAGGCGGTCGAATTGGCAGTTGCAAATTTGAAATGGAGCATTTACCAACTATTTTGGCTGTTGTACAACAGCAAAAGGCACAGATTGCGTCAGAATTTATCCGCAATAAATTTAAATGACTTAAATGACAAGGAATTTTAGTTTTTCTAATGATTTTTCTCTAACAAAGAGCAAATTCACCGAAAAGTGTCTATAGGTGGTATAGGCATCCAAAATCTTTAAAATAAGGTAGAGGTAGGCGGTTTATATTAAATAGTAACAATTGGGGACATATTGGGGCAAGAATATACCGAAAAAACGCCAACATCTATTTTGGGCATGCTTGTAGCTTTGGCGCCACGTTTTAAATTCCATATCTCATTTGTTTCTCGCCAAGTGTGTATACACTTTCGTAGTGATGGTCAAATTTTCAGAGTTGCACCGAAGAACTATCGCCAAACAAACGGTCGTTACATTTAGATGCGCTTTGATGCAGGGCCAATTGAGAAAATTCGGAACGGCAAAACCTTATGGACCGTTTGTTCAACGGATGCCAGATGCGCTTTGACGGTGTGTGGGAAGACCCTATTATATGGCTCGTTCTGATTTATGTATTTATATACTAATGACAGGTCCGCTCCATTCCATTTATATAAATCGGTTATTTCCTGCTAATGAGGATATAATTCTTTATATTTGCAAAGTTTCACTAAAGAGAATATCCTGCGAAAAAACGCTATACGAAAATGGCTAAATCGTATCGGCTGTTGATGCCGGAAATGACTTCAGTACTGCGTTGCAAACTGAAAATACAAAGTTATTTTACTCAAACTATAAACTAATTTTTCATTAACTAGAGTAAAATAACTTTGAAACAATATTTTACGTACAGTGTCATCGTTATAAGTTTGTCAAATTTGCCTTATTCAAGACACGAACCCATGTGGTAAAAAAGTTTGTGGTGAATAAAAATTCAAAAAATACAATTTTTATGAGAAAAATAAACAATAAATTAGGTTGTATAAAATAAGCATTTGTATAAAAAAAGATTACAACTATTTTATACAAGGTTTTTGCAATAAAACTACATGATATATGTAAAAACAAAAATTCAAAAAAAAAAATACTGTATATAAAGGTAGAAGTTAAAAGTATATATATGTTATAAAAACAAAATAATAAATGCAAATACATTTTCAAAAACAAGAGTATATCAAAAGTAAAATATATACAAAAAAATATAAAGATACTTCCACAAATGTATCCCAAATACATGTGCAAAACCGTCAAACAAAAGATCGTGCCCATCAAAGCGCTCGTTCAGCTGAGTGACTCGTGCTCGAGAACGACAGATTTACGCATCCAAAACTAATCCCCCCAAAAGTAAAGAATAGAACGCCAAGATATAGGCAAAAAGACAAAGACCAGGCGCAGAATTCCATTTGTATCACTTTATTCAACGTTTTACGTTAATATTTCTTTTTTTTTTGTTCTATAATAAATATATTCTTTACTGCACTTTAGGTGTACTTTTCTTTATAGGTATTTGTTGTTGTTTGGGTGAGAGGGGGGCTTGTTTGCTCGCAGTTTGAACATTTAAACAATTATGTATAATATATATATAAATAATTATGTACGTCGCTTGCTAGTTTTATGTATACTTAGACCTACTATTTATGTGTGTATGTTTAGCCGTATATTATATAACTTTATAAATTAGTTTATGTATAAATATATGTATGTATGTACCATTACATATCATTGCATTAGCACAGCACTTTAAACACTTAATTGCCAGTATAAATAATGAATGTTCTTGCTGCTGCAAATTATAACAATTTTCAACAGAAAACAACAGAAAAAACTAAAATTTCTTTCTAATATTTAGAAATCATTGAAGTACTGCAAATCTCTTTGGTCTACTGCCTTGGCGGGCTTCCAATCCTTCTCGGGATAATCATCAAAGTTCTTCGTGTCCCCATCGTGATGAACATCGGGCAGAATTGGTGGCTGTAAGAAATATACATTTTGTATTAATTTATTATAATTTTGATTGTTAATTGTGTGTGATTTAAGGGCGTTTTAATGATAGCTAAAAATGGCACATAAGAAAATGTGGATCCTTTTTCTAATAAATTTAAATTTGATATACCAAAAGTGGGAAAAACAAGAAGAGAATAAGCTTACTATTCCCTTTAAATTTTCACCCTCCACGCCCTTCTACCCTTCAAAAAACTATGCAAAAATACGAGCTTTTATAACCGTCATTACTGACGCACTTTTAACCCATTGTCTCCCGAATGTGCTCTGAGTGGGGGCGTTCATGTGGGCAATTAACGCCTTCTTCAGATGCGAAATGCCCCCTTTTGTTACATTTCACTAGCACTCGCCTTCAGAGCAGCTGGGCTGGCTGGGAGGGATCCGGATCCGGGAGATTTATGGGTCTAACACCCACCCGGACGGCCGAAATAGACGCTGCGGTCATTAACTAAAGGCACACAGCTAATTGGGCAAACTGATTTGTTTATTTGCGTTTAATTACGAGAACGTATGAAAATGCCCTGGCCGACTGACAAAAAGTCAGCCAAAAGTCATATGGGCCACGCGTGTGTGTCCACACAAAGTATATGTGCCATAATTGTTAATTATAATTAGTTAAAAAAAAAACAAAAGAGAGAAAACCCCTTGAACTCACCTTAAGTTTCTTGTTGTAGACGTCATTCCAATTCAAGTGCTTGAACCAGCGATGCCTCTTCACGTCATCGGCACCATTCTGCGGGTGTTCCGGAATCGGGGAAAAATAGAAGAAAATTTAGAGGAAAATACAGATTAATATTAGACATAAATAAAGCTCTTTGCATTTGCCTTTGGCCATATAGCTCGTGTTGCAAAAACGCGCGACAAGTCTATTAAAAAAATAATACGAATCCGAATCG